CAAATCTCACCCCCTCCAGACTGGCTTGCAAGGGGCCCGTCTACACAGCCTGCACCCCTGCCACCATCGCGTTCCCACAACGGCGTGTTCCTTGCCCTTCTGAGCACCAAGGCTGTCTGGAATGTTATTACATGTTTTCTTTTTTATGACCATCCCACACATCAAGCCTCCCGACAGCGGGGAGCCAGTCTGTCCCATTCAACTCTGCGTTCCCAGCACAGAGGAGGCATTTAACACAAGGCCCATGAATGAGTCGAGGGACGGGCGGGTGTGCAGACGCTTCCTCACAGGCAAGAGACTGCCAGCTGAGCACCAACAGAGCGTTCGAGGCTGCTGTGCACCGGCCTCCCCTGCAGCATGGCTGGCGCCAGGGAAGGCGTGAACCAGTGCTGACCCGCCAGGCCGCACAGGAGGACGACACTCCGTGGTCTTGGCCAGGAACATCCTCAGACGCGCCTGTGGACTTTGCAAGTACACGCGCGCCTGGGGCCATCCCTGGAAGATGTGGTCCGGGACGCCTCGGTGGGAACAGGATAGCCACAATTTCAGAAGCTGCATGGGAGGTTTCTGGTCCTTCCCACGGTGGCAAAGGGTGTCCTCGCTCCACACCCTGGGTAGGGTGTTTGTGCCTACGTCCGGTGGTTTAGTTTCTTTCACTAATCTAGGGAGAGAGTGAGGTTTCTTGGAAACTTAGAAAATGAAAATTTTTTTTTTTTTTGGAGAGTGTCTCACTCTGTCACCCAGGTTGGAGTGCAGTCGTGAGATCATAGCTCACTAGAGCCTCAAAGTTCTGGATTCAAGCGATCCTCCGGCCTCAGCCTCCCAAGTAGTTGGGTCTACAGGTGTGCACAACCATACCCAGCTATTCTTTTATGTTTTGTAGAGACAGAATCTTGCTATGTTGCCCAGGCTGGTCCAAACTCCTTGTCTCAAGAGATCCTCCCGCTTCCAATCCAAAGCTCTCCAATCCAAAGCCTCAAATCCAAAGCTCTGGGATTACAGGCACGAGTCACCACACCCAGCTAGAAATTCATTTTTTGATGAGTGTTTTGTGTCACAGCAAATTAATCTTTCTCTGGCTTCTAAAAGAAACTGCCAGCTCTGAGACTTGTGTTGGCATGGAATTCCATAACAACTTTAGACTGTCAGCTGTTTCTATGCATGTTGGCCTTATGTCCATGATCAGAATGTAATATCCTGGAGGCAGAACCTGACTGCAGCAGATATCTGAGTCTTATACTGCGAGATGTTTTAGACGAAATAAGTGTTCAATAAACTCTTGCTAAATATATACTTTTTTTTTTTAGTTGGAGTCTCACTCTGTCGCCCATGCTGGAGCACAGTGGCACACTCACAGGGATCCCAGGGTCAGCCCACTGGGCCCAGGCAATCCTTCCACCTCAGCCTTCCAAGTAACCGGAACTACAGGCGCGCACTCCCATGCCTGGTGAATTTTTTAATTTATTGTAGAGATGAGTTCTCACCAAGTTGCCCAGGCTGTTCTCAAACCCGTGGGCTCGGGCAATCCCTTCACCTCGGCCTCCCAAAGTGCTGGAATTACAGGCTTATGCCACCGCACCCAGACTAATTTTTTTTTTAAGTCATGGTCTCACTCTGTTGCCCAGGCTGGAATGCAATGGCACAATCATGGCTCACCACCACCTCGACCTCTGGGGCTCAGGCGATTCTCCAGCCTCAGCCTCCCAAGTTGCTGGGACTATAGGCATGCACCACCACACCCGGCTAACGATTTTATTTTTTGTAGAGACATGGTCTCACTATGTTGCCCAGGCTGATCTTGAACTTCTAGGCTCAAGCAATCTGCCCAATGTACTGGGATTACAGGCGTGAGCCATTATGCCCAGCCTGAATATATAGCTTTTTAAAAAACAAATAAATAGGCCGGGCTCAGTGGCTCAGCCTATAATCCCGCACTTTTGGGAGGCTGAGGTGAGTGGATTGCCTGAGCCTGCGGGTTCGAGGCCCACCCGGGGAACTCGGCGAGACCTCATCTCTACAGTAAATCAAAAAATCAGCCAGGTGTGGTAGCACGCGCCTGTAGTTCCAGCTACTTGGAAGGCTGAGGAGGAAGAATCGCCGGAGCCCAGCTGGTCGAGACTGCGGTGGCCGGGAGCGGCCACTGCACTCCAGTCTGGGCGACAGAGTGAGACTCCAACTCAAAAAAAAAATAAAAATAAAAAACAAATAAATAAATAAGACATTTAAGCTACACAGGGATTTCAGACGTGCAACCCTGACCGAGAATCCTGCATATTTCCTCTGTGCCAAGGACGGTGCTAAGATATATGGATATAGATACACTCCCTTACTGTCTGCAATAACCCCGAAGCAGGTACTATGATCCTTTCCATCTGATGGATGCAGAAACAGGCCCAGAGAGGTTGAGTGACTTACCCAAAGTCACACAGCTATTGAGGATGGCACTGGGACGGGACCTCACAAACTCTCACTGGGGCCCAATGCTTCCTGTCTGAGGCACTATTGTACTCGTACAAGCACAACAATCGATTATCCACACCACCACGGACTACACACAGGAGTTTTTACTGAAGACAAGGGTTGCTGGAGGCAAGGAGGTCAGAACTGCAAGGAACAACAGCTGGAAACAAAGTCAGGACAGAAACACGCCAAGGCGGGCAGGCGCCAGAGGAGAACCCAGCAACTTGGAGCCTTCTCCCCACACCTCAACAGCTCTCAAGCGCAGCAGACTTTGACACCATCCAAAAATCAGAAGCCTTGAGTCATGAAAACAAAAGCTCCATGGTGCACCATCACCTCTACTTAAGCATGTTTCCCACAACTTTTAAAACATCTTGTGTCTAAAACAGATAGTTTCACAGTCACAAAAAAAACAAAATCACATCCTTTGCAGCAATGTGGATGTGGCTGGAGGTCATTGTTCTAAGAAAATTAGCACAAAAACAGAAAACCAAATACCGCATGGTCTCACTCATAAGTGGGAGTCAGACACTGGGCACACATGGGCACGAAGATGGGGAGAGACACTGGGGACCCCGAAATGGGGAGGAAGAAGGGTTAAAAAGTCACCACTGGGTACCACGCTCACTGCTTGGGTAGCGGGCTGCATTGAAGCCCAGACCTCACCAATGTGCAACACACCTGTGTCACAAACGTGGACCCCCCCGAATCTAAAATACAAAGGTTATGCAGTAATGTTACAGGGAGACCCAACAAAAATGATGAAAATACATTCGCAGAAACAAAGAACTGAGTACTGCATGTTCTCACTCATAAGAGCAATTACCATAATACTATAAAAATAAGGGATTGGCAGGAATGGGAAACTGCCGGGGGGCAGGGTAGGGGCACACTTCATCAATAAGGGTACCTGATCCGAAATCAGGTGAAGTGGGGATCAAAGTGAGGCCCAAACTTTACCTACACAATGACCATTTGTATACCTAACCCTGAATTGTACCCCACATCTTTAAAATTAAAAAATAAGGAAAATACATTTGCAACAAAAAGCATAAAATGGATAAAGTTGCATTACACAAAGGGAAAAGGTTCAGGCACCTAGAAAATCCACATACGTGTCACACCTCCTAACAACACCAGACACATTCAGTGTCACGTTTCACAAATATTCAGCTTCAGTAAAAAAATCTAATTGAATTAGGGGGCTAACCATAGTAGCCTCCTTACTAAGAAAACTCCCAGCTTATTCAAAATATTTTGTTAGCTGGGCACAGGGCTCACGCCTGTAATCTCAGCACTTTGGGAGGCTGAGGTAAGAGGACTGCCTGAACCCACCAGTTCGAAACCAGCCTGGGCAACATGGCAAGACCTCATCTCTACAATAAATCAAAGAAAATTAGCCAGGCCTGGTGGCGCAAGTTTGTGTGGTTCCAGATACTTGGAAGGCTGAGGCAAAAGAATTGCCTGAGTACAGTGGGTCGAGAGCATGCCACTGCCTTCTAGCCTGGGCAACAGAGTAAGACTCCAACTCAAAAAAATAAAATAAAATAATAAATAAATAAAAATAAAATATTTTGTTTATTCCAATTCTTCTGGAGACTGCTTAGTACATAAATTAGAATTTTCTTTCCACTTTATTTTAGGTCGGGTATGGTGGATCACACCTGTAACCCTAGCACTTTGGGAGGCCAAGGCAGGAGGATTCCTTGAGCCCAGGAGTTTTACATCAGCCTGGACAACATAGCAAACCTCATCTCTACAAAAAAAAATTTTTAAATAAAAAAATCAGCATGTGGTGGCATGCAACTGTAGTCCCAGTCAATCAGGAGCTGAGGCAGAAGGACTGCCATAGCCCAGGAGGTCGAGACTATGGTGAACTGCGATTGTGCCACTGCCCTCCGGCCTGGGTAACAGCGTGAGACCCCGACTCAAAAAACAAAACAAAACAAAAACCTTCTACAAGGAGAAGTGGAAGTCGGGCTCGGTGGCTCAGCCTATAATCCCACACCTTTGGGAGGCTGAGATGAGTGGACTGCCCGAACCCACAGGCTCGAGACCCGCTTGGGCAACTTGGTGAGACCTCATCTCTACAATAAATAAAAAAATCAGCCAGGGGTGGGAGCATGCGCCTGTAGTTCCAGCTACTTGGAAGGCTGAGGCGGAAGGATCGCAGCCGGAGCCCAGCAGGTCGAGGCTGCGGTGGCCGGGAGCGGCCACTGCACTCCAGTCTGGGTGACAGAGCAAGACTCCAACTCAAAAGAAAAAAATAAAAGGAGAAGTGGGAAGAGAGTCTAGCCACAGTTCCATCACTGACTTTCCAAGTGACTCGAGCTAGTTAATGCCAGATGTCCCATAAACCATGACCACACACTGGCCTCTCCCCTCCTCAGCAAAAACAAAGTCAACAGAAGTCTTAATTTATGTCAAAAGGTGCCAAGATACTGAAAATCCTACACTGTGGTTTCTGCTTCCTTGGGAGCCTCTGCAAACATGTGGCACTGCATGTGTGTACCATCTGGGACTTAACTGCCAAGACTCACTTGCGACATAGAGGGCCACTCTGTCATTCTCCCTGTGTCTCAGCAGGTTTTCGGCATAGTTGAGGCGACTGCCTTTGAACCATTCGGGGATGTCTGCGATTCCTTTCGATGTGTCCACAACCTGCAGAGAACGATGGCAAACCGACACACACACACATGAGACGCCACAGGTAAAGAAAGGCAATTCTGCTAATTCATAGGCCCATAGCATCATTACCTCACTTGACACACTGAACTCTGAACTGGTCTAAAGGCTTTAAACAGAAAATAGAAATTAACGTCAAAGGAGCCGGGTACAGTGGCTCACGCCCATAATCCCAGAACTTTGGGAGGTCAAGGCAGGAGGACTGCTTGAGCTCAGGAGTTTGAGACCACCTGGGCAACATAACAAGAGCTTGTCTCTACAAAAAAGTCAAAAACTTAGCTGGGCATGGTGGCGCACTCCTGTAGTCCCAGCTACTCGGGAGGCTAAGGCAGAAGGATAGCCTGAGCATAGGAGGTCAAGGCTGTGTTGAGCTGTGATCATGACACTACACTTCAGCCTGGGTGACAGAAAGAGACCCCAACTCAAAAAAAAAAAAACAGAAATGAATGTCAAGGGAAAACAACCATCCCCAGTAATCACTCTTTCAACAAACATTTATGAACCACCTACGTCATGAAAGATGCTGGCACTGACACCTGCCCAACATGTCAGGCTCTGACCAGACACATGAAACCTGGTGAGCAGCCTTGAGAACCATCTGCCCTCCCCCACCATTTCCTGGGAGTTTGACTCTGCTTCCTTCCTTAGGGTCCTGGAACCTTGATTTTTATTCTCTAAGTACTAACAGATCAGCCTTTCAGAATGGTTTGCTCCAAAAAGACAATTAGTTGTACTTTGAATAATAGGAACCTTTCTCCAGATGTTTACTGACTCACAGTATGAGGAGTTGCAAGGTTCTCTAAATCTAGGCTAAAAGAAGAAATAAATCACTGAGAGCTTAAAAAGATGACAACAGAGCCGGGCTCGGTGGCTCAGCCTGTAATCCCGCGTTTTGAGAGGCCGAGGTGAGTGGATTGCCTGAGCCCGCAGGTTCGAGACCCGCCTGGGCAACTTGGCGAGACCTCATCTCTACAATAAATCAAAAAATTAGCTGGGCATGGTAGCACGCGCCTGTAGTTCCAGCTGCTTAGAAGGCTGAGGTGGAAGGATTGCCGGAGCCCAGCAGGTCAAGGCTGTGGTGGCCGGGAGCGGCCACTGAACTCCAGTCTGGGCGACAGAGTGAGATCCAACTCAAAAAAAAAAAAAAACCCTACTACCGAGGAATGCCTAAGTTCCCAGGACAGGCATAGGGTCCACATGGGAGACAGCTCTGTTTGCAGGGCCTCAGCAGGGCCCAGATAATTCAGTGCCAGTCCTCTGGGGCACTGACTTCCTCCCATCTGCGTGAGAGTGTAAAAGAGGGTGTGGTTCAGCATCCCCCCAGCCAACACTTCACTCTGCAACGACCACAAGAGCGCGAACGCAGGGGTGAAGCCCTCCTCACCTCATCATATGCGCGAGAGAAGACGATTCCGCTGAAACTCCAGAACTCAGCCCAGAAGTCTGAATACGACTCAACAGACCAGTGGTATAAGTCATCGTAACTCTCTAAAAAGAAAATAAATTGGCACAGGGCTCAGATAAACTTCAGACGGGAAGTCTGGGTGCTCATTCACACCCGAGGAATCACCGGGACGCCCAAGCAAGCCCAGTATCTGATGGGAATTGACCTGGGGAGAAGGGGGCTTAATTTTTACTGAAGCAAACCCATCCCTGCCAGTCCCCAAAAGGAACAAAAGCGCCAAGGTAGAGAGTTGATATCTTTTTTTTTTTTTGAGTTGGGGTCTCACTGTTGTTTTAATAAAGTAGCATCATCATGGCTCACTGCAGCCTCAGCCTCCTGGGCTCCAGTGATCCTCTCACCTTAGCCTCCCAAGAAGCTGGGACTACAGTTGTGTGCCACCACACCTGGCTGATGTTTTAATTTTTAGTATTTTTTTGTAGAGATGGGGTTTCACTCTGTTGCCCAGGCTGATTTTAAACTCTTGGCCTCAAACAATCCTCCTACCTCAGCTTCCCCAAGAAGTTGGGATTATATGCCCCGTTTATTTATTTATTTATTTATTTTTTGGAGTCAGAGTCTCAATCCGTTGCCCAGGTTGAAGTGCAGTGGCCTCAGCCTTCTAAGTAGCTTCCAAATAGCTTTCCTCCACCTCAGTCACCCAAGTAGCTGGAACTACAGGTGCATACCACCACATCCAGCTGATTTTTATTTATTTATTGTAGAGTTGAGGTCTTGCTAAGTTGCCCAGGCTGGTCTCAAACCCGTGGACTCAGGCAATCCTCTCACCTCCACCTCCCAAAGTGCTGGGATGACAGGGATGAGCCACCACGCCCGGCTTATCTGCCCTGTTAAACAGCATTCTCTGCAAAACCTGGCACACAGTGAAGCACTCAGGACATCAGCACCAATCTGCTCAGTCACCAGATGTGCGGTGTTGACTAACTTCTGACGCTACCTTTGCACAAGCCTCCCATCTCAGCTGCCCTGAGCTATGAGAACAAGGAGTAACCAAGCCTTCTATCCACAGCTTGTGGCACACAGGACAGTGGCACAGTCCTCCAAAAGTCCATGTCCTTGGAAGCCAGTGCCACCTCCCTGCCCCTTGATTACAGAGGGCCAGGACATGCAGCATGTCCCAGGAGCCTTCCAGAAGACAGCAGGAATCCCCAGCACACGAGCCAGGCGGGGGCTGCAGCTATACCGGTGGAGGTCTACACCGGAGGCCCCCAGATCCCCGGGGGGCACAGGGAGTCCTCAGGTGAGCTTGGCTGGAAGCAGTGACAGGAAGAATGCACCTATGTCCTGCTCGCCACTCCACCAAGGCCCCACATCTCCTGACACATAGACACAGAAGCCTCTGCCAACCCTGGTCTGGGAAGATGGGCTCATGGAAAGGTGGCCGGGGGGAGGGGCAACCATCCCCAATTCCCCTCCCCCCCCCGCCCCCACACTTTCCAGGGCTGGAGCAGGGCGGACGGGGCACGTGGGCACACGCGCCCGGCTCTCTCTGTGCACCCAGCCAACAGCACACCCTAGACTACACGCCCATGATGCGCAAGCCAGGTGGGGTACAGAGGAGACACACTCACAGGTGCAGGTCTTGAAGTAGCTTTGTGTTTAAACGCTCACAAATACATGAAGACAAGACAGGCAAGAGCCCGAGTCACAGGCACTCGGGGGGCAAAGGAAAAGAGAACACGTTCACAGTGACCATCAGAGGAGGCAGCGTGGGAGTCAGATCTCAGAGCAAGGCCCAAACCCTCAGGGCTAGGCATGGCGAGAGGAGAAGCAGCTGGAAAGTCACCCCCAGGCGCGGCCAGGGGAGAAAAGGACAAAACTGAGCTCCCAACACCCCCAGACTACAGGGGTTGCTGCCATGCAGGAGGGCAGGCTCCGGAAGACACGCCTTGGGGCTTTCAGAAGTTGGAAAGCTTTTCATATATGGTCTCACAACTTTTTTTTATTTATGTATATATTTTAGAGACGGGGTCTTGCTATGTTGCCCATGCTGGTCTCGAACCTCTGGGCTCAAGCAATCCTCCCAAAGTGATAGGATGACAGGCATGAGCCACTGCGCCTGGGTTCACAACTTTTAAATGCAGCAACTCAATGATGTGTCTGCAGCTCAAACCCGGCCCAAGGCCACGGGGCAGAGGGTCCAGCAGGCCGATATTAATCCGCCCATTCACCAGATGTGTGGCATTGACTAACTCGGGGTGCCATCTTTGCATGAGCCTGCTACCAGGGCCTGCACATGTTTACTTTGCGACCCCACAGGCCAGGTGCAGGCTGAGCACTGGGCCCCTATTTCATGTTACTCTCACACCCACCCAATGACACATGTCCCATTATGTCCATTTGACAGACGAGGAAACAAGTGTGAGGAGATTCGATGACATCCCCCTGATCACACAGCTAGTACATGGGGGAGTCAGTTCCAACGCCAGGCAGTCAGATGACGGATCCCTTCTCCTTGCCCTGTCCACGGAGGAAGGAGGTCCCACCCAGCTCCCAGGGTTGCCTTGACATGAAATTATTTTGTAACGTCGGGGCTGGACGAGCACCAGGAGCTCAGTGTTGTATTATTGCTGGCAGAGGAAACAGACAGGATGAAGGCAAGGCGGCAGGAGAAGAATATGGCCCCCGACACAGCCTCCTGGCTTCCCCTGTGCCCCAAGGCTGTTCACCCCAATCCCACACGCAGTCATTTACCAACTTCCACCCAGCAGCCTGGAGAATCCAAGGCACACATCTGTCTCCAAGGGAGAGGAGGGAAGGAGAGGATAGAGCTGGCCAGCCAAGGAAAGGGGCTCTGGAACGTTGCCCCCCTGTGAAGGGCCTGGCAGCTGCGATTTGCAATTCCATGGTCAACCAGGAACCACTGAGCACCTCTGAGTCAAGGAGGGACAAAGTGAGACCTATACTTCCAGATCACTCCGGCAAAGCAATCAGAGGTACCAGAGGGGGAAGGGCGGAAATGGGGAGGAAAGCAAGAAGCAGGAGGCTCTCAGAGCACCCCCCCAAAGCGGGGGGCGGGAACACCGTGCCACTGAGGCAGACGCCCAGGCAGGGCAGGTGACTCGGTCTCCATCTCCCGTCTCCAGCTCCGAGAGGCACCAAAGACAGTGATGCCACCAACAGAAACAGGGGCATCTCTGCAGTCAGCTGAGGAAGGACGGGAGAAGGCCAGGGTGAGCTGAGATACCTGGGAACACCTAGGGGAGGCGGGGCAGGTAGCTGGACAGGCTAGAGCTCCGGAAAGGGCGCCCCCTCAGAACAGGGGCCTCGGCCCCACCCACACTCGGATGGGTGGTCTCTGAGGGCCCGGGGGTGTCTGGAAGGAGGGCCCTTGCCTGGGGGCTGGGAACGGAAACACAAGAGACAGGCGTCCACTCCAAGCCCACACCAGGGCTCCTCCCTGCTCCCTTCCAGGTGCGGGCCTCTCGCAGGACAGCTGGGGCCTTGGGGGACAAGAGGGGCTCCTGCAAGGTCCGGTGGGCTGGCAAGCGGCCCCCAAAACAGAGGAAGCCCCCATGTCCAGAGGAAGCCAAGACCGCAGGGCGCACCTCACAGCAGGAGAGCCCTAGCAGGGGACCTCACCGCCTCCGGGGCGCGGCCAGCAGCGGAGGGC